GGTCCAGATGAAGAAGAAGACGCCAAAGACATAAGTTACATAGATGGGTTCCATGAAGGCGGTCCAGTCGATGATGGGGCCGGATCTCCTGGGCGGCAGTCTGGGACGCATGAAGCTGACGACTAAGAGGAGGCCAGCCATGTTGATGAAGCCGAGCGTCAGGGCTGTCCACTTGAAGCCTACCTTGGGGAGCAGCTGGCGGACGACGAGGGGGTAGATTATACCCCCCGCCGAGTTGCCGGTGGTCGCGATGCCCATGGCCAGGCCTCGCTTCTTGCTAAAGTAGGTGGCCACGAGGGCGAGGGACGGCGTGAAGAAGATGCCGCCCCCGAGGCCGGTCAGGACCCCCTGGGTGAGCATGAGGTGCCAGTAGCTCTTCGAGACGGCCATGAGGAAGATCCCGAGGAGCTGGAGGAGGGCGCCGATGATGAAGGTCGGGAGGAAGAAGCCGGCATCGAGCAGGCGGCCGGAGAAGGCGCCGATGAAGTAGGTGAGCCATGTCTGGATGGAGCCGATCCAGGAGATGGCCGAGGCGGACTCGGGCAGGGTGGATGTGTAGTAGACCTGGAAGCTCCCAAAGGAGTTGATGTAGCCCCAGGTGGTGAAGATGGCTACCCAGCCCATGGCGACTTGGAGCCAGGCGTGGAGGCCGCCATCCGGAGGAGGGGGAACGGCGTCTCCTGGGAGAATTTCATCTGGGGTCGTTGCGTCTTGGTCGCTATCGGTGTGAGCCTCCCGGATCCGAGTGCGAGAGGGGACCTTTTTGGCTGGGTCGTTTCGTTCGAGTGAGCTCAAAGTATGTGTCCCGTTCTCAACATCCCCGAATCGAGGCGATTCTACCTGGTTCATAGAATTGCTCGCCATTGCGATGATTCATCGAGGACAGGGGAGCCCTCCACTTTGTAGCATGGGAGGCTCAAATGGATAGATCACGGCAAGGGAGCGAGAACAGCGAGCAATGGGGTCAATTGGACTCTGGAATCTTCAGTTCGATATATAGAACCGTATGTAACACTGGTAACAATGGAGAGAGACGACATTGGATTGATCTGAGGACTTAGCAGTCGGCGAAGTGGAACATGCAAAGCCCAAGATCAAGGACTAGGGGCGGTATGCGGAAAGGGCCCCTGCAAGTTGGGCGACAAATCCCGGGATCAAAGTCTTTACGGCCATGCCCACTATTATAGAGCAAGCAAAGGCGTGTAATTGTGCCTTTCCTGGGAGACCCGATTCGTTTCCTCAACACGGGGCTAGCTCGGAAAGGCGGTGCCGGATAGAGGCCCACGAAACGGTCCCGCCAGTTAGACGGCAAGACGGGCTAAGGTCCGAGTTTCGGAGAAAGCAGAGCGAGAGAGATTGAGCACCCCGTTGGTGCCAGTCTGCTCCTGGATTTTTCTTCAACGCCTAACAGCTCATCCAGGCTCCCGTTAACTGGTCTAAATCGCTGTTCAAATCGTTGCCTCAAGCGGGAGAGTTAGACAGGAGCACTATCGGATGATAGAGGACCCGGACCCTGTTTGGGTCCTATGGCACTGAACCGGCATGGAATGAGTCCAGCTTGATGACGACTTCCGGCTGCGCCTCCGAATCAACAGCGGTCCTAAGTAACGTAGTCCTGAACGAGACTATGACTATCCTAGGAGATATCTAGGACTAGAGCGCGGATGATGAAGCTTCGCTGATCGACGAATAACAGTGACTCTTGTGAAAGCAATGTTTCCAACTGCCATGATCCAGTGCTGGCGTGAGAGTGCGTTATACCAGGCTGAACCTGCCAATGAATCTCTCTTTTTACAGGAACCGAACCACCCCCCAGGCCTGTGAGCGGCTCCAACGGCTGTCATTGCCATGGGTGAAATGGCCGAACGGTTGGACCATGGATACGACCACCCATCGAGAATCGTCAAAAGGCCGCGCGGTCAAGGTCTCTCAACCCCTAGGGTCGCTAGGGAACCTCTGTAACGGATAATGGGCTCAGACCGAGAGGGATTGCTCAAACTCCAGGAACAATTGAATGCACTATGGCTCCGGCGGTTAACTCCTCTTCAAGACGAAGCGAAATATAACGATGAGGGAAACTCCATATTGTAGTCAACAGTGGAAGTAGCCCGCACTATTCTCTTGAGACTCCTACGAACCGAGGGACGATTATTAGACCGCTTCCCTGGTTGGAATTGAGGGTTTGATCTTAGCCAACCTGCGACGACAAAGGCCTCGCGCCTGCACATTGAGCCAATGGCGCTATGAGCTGGGAGGAACTTTCAAAAGCATGATTCTCAGTGACCACACGAAAGTTCCTGAGAGTTGATGCCGAGTCATATAAGCTGATCTAAGATCTTGTGACAATCCGATGGTAAGCCAGGCGAGAATCCGGTCAATCACTTTGTAGGCCAACACACTTGCGCGCACAAGTAAACCTTGGAAATGCCATCTCGAGCATTGGTTTGTGGCGACGGCCAAATCCAGACTGGGCGAAGGGGCAAAGAGGAGGCTGGTCTCGCACGGCAGATTGAGGAGGCGGAATAGACGCCGATGATTCTCGTGAGGTGGCGGATCATCCTAAATTATGGCTTGCAATGGGTGATCAATGTCTTACCTCCCGGCACTGGATAGGTGGGTTATGGTCTCGTTCTGCCGTGTGGTGGAGAGCTGAATGCGAGGTGCGTCGTGCGTGTCCAGGCCACGGTAGCAGTAGTCTGTCGGCAGGAAACGAAGGGGAACGAGGAAAACAATGGCATCGAGAGCTGGATCAATTCCATCACGACTGATCTGCTGTACTCATCGTAGAAGCAAATCACAAGTAGATATCCCAGTGATCCTCCGGACTGTTGACTGGGTACGTTATGCAGGTAATGTGCCTGGGCTGCATCAGTGATTACGTAGGTACTACAGGCTGCTGCGCCGAAAGTGGGAAAGGCGGAGACGGGCGGGAGGGCTAGATGGGGCCTGTCGCCAATTGGAAGAGGCGCTGCAGCCCCAAGCCAGGCGCCAACTAACGTCACGTTGTTCGCCTACCAGAGCCCCAGAGCCTGACAGCCAAGCCAAGCCCCAGGCCCCAAGCTCCCCATCTTCTATAGCCCATCGCCTGCGTCCCTCCTCGACCTTTGCACATCTCGCGAGAGGCTTCAATCTTCCCCTCCCGGAGCTCTCGCGCACTCTCACCAGCTCATCCAATCTTGCGACCTCTTAGAGCGACCTTGTCGCACCGCCGCCAACATGGGTTGGAACGTGAGTCTTACGACCTCAGCTCAGCCTCGGCGACAGCTCTCAACTGACTTTGGAGTAGGTCTTCCGATACTTGGGAGATATCTCCCACATGCTCTCCAAGATCATCCTGATCCTAGCCATCCATCGCAATCGATCATCCGAAGGAGTCAGCTTGATCACCCAGGGACTCTATGCCGTCGTCTTCTGTACTCGATACCTTGATCTCTTCAACCCTGCCAAGGACCATCCCGCGTGGAACGTGGTCTTCAAGACGGTTTACATCCTCTCCTCCTTCTACACAATTGGAATCATGCAATGGATGTTCCCTCGATCGCGCGAGAGGGAGTTTGCGTGGAAGATGGGAGCCGTGGTCGCAGCTGGATCACTCCTGCTCTCCCCATTCTCCATGCTCATCTTCGAGAACAAGCAGAGGTGGTCCTTCATCAACGTATGTCTGACGGGTCTCGCAGATCTAAACAACTGGAAAAGCTCCCTGTCGCACAATGCTAACTTCCCTGACTTATAGTGGCTCTGGGTCTTCTCCGAGATCCTCGAATCCGTTTGCGTGCTTCCCCAGCTTCTGCTCCTCCGCCAGACGACCGTCCCAACAGTCATCAACAGCTTCTACCTCGTGACTCTTGGTTCATACCGCGGCTTCTACTGCATCAATTGGATATGGCGCTACTTCGACAAGAACGACCCGGGCGCGCCCCTCGTGTCTGTCATCTTTGGAATCATCCAGACGGCGTTGTACATTGACTTCGCCTGGGTTTACTACACCCGCCAGCGCGTCAAGCTTAGGGGCGGCGGCATCGTAGACGCCGACGATCTTCGCAGGAGCTGGCTTCTTCGCCGCATCTTTGGCAAGAACGCCACCACAACGATCGACGACGAGGACGAGGAGAGCGGTCCTGCCCTGGGAGGCGAACGTGGCACCCGTGGCGGCAGCCGGCCCAAGTGGGGATCCAGGGGCATCTCCATCAGTGCCGATGACGACGTCCTGGACTCGGAGCGGGAGCACCTGGCGCAGTCCGATGGTGTCACAGACTCCATCGATCCGGATGCCAAGATGCAGGATCCCGACGAGCTAGCCAAGGCGCTCGACGATGAGGAGGAGGATGAGGAGGAGGCTGGACCTGCCAGTCGCCCCAACAATGGCAACGCCAGCGGAGTCCGCAATGATGAATGGGACGACTAGGCTGGATCAGAGGAGGACATCTGTGAATTTGTGGACAGAGTAGGACACACTACCTATACTAACCAGATGAAATAAAGAGCAGAGTATACAAATTAGGTGTTTAAGACTGGACATCAAGGCTGCCTAGCTCAGCATGTACGAGGAGCATTAGTTTTTGGATTTGGACATGAAACCACGATTTACAAAGTTGTGAATTTCATCCCACTCTCTGTTTTGGTTGTGTATTTTATTTTCCGGTTGTGCAAAGTCACTCAAGGGAGATGTTTGATTTTAGGAGTTATCCAAAGATATGAATAAAAATATATACCTAAAAAGAATAAGAGCACTTCTTCTCCTTGATCAGGTTTCCCAGGGAACTCCTCCAGTCGTGGCATTTGTGCATTCCGTTCGCCGAAACCCAAACAGCTTGGCCCAAACGACATCAAAGTATATATACATAACGCGCAACTACCGCAATCGCTCGTAAGGTAGTTGAAGACGAAACCCAGACAGTTGTAGCGATCTTAACAACCGATTAAACAAAACCCAGGATGATAATAGTAACAATAGAAAAACAATAACCTAATATTTGAGCACCAAACAAGCTGCCGTAGTGTCATCGGGCAAAACGGTTCTCGAACTCCTTATACAACTTGGGGCTGATCTCGTCGCTGCTCATACCCTCGACCTCCAGCAGGACACCCTTTCGGGCGTAGTGCTCCAGGAGAGGCTCGCTCGTCTGCCTGAACTTGTCCAGACGGTTGCGATAAACGTCGATGTTGTCGTCGGGGCGCTGGACGAGAGGCTCTCCGGTGATGTCGTCGTGGCCGGGGACACGGGGGGTGTTAAAGGTGGTGTTGTACACTCGGCCGGAAGGCTCGTGGACCCAGCGGCCTGCGATCCGCTCGAGGATGACGGAAATGGGAGTCACGATGGAGATGGCCAGGTTGATGGGCACAATGGACTCGAGGCCGTGGGCCTGGGTTGCGTTGCGGGGGTAGCCGTCGAGGATGAACGACGCGGAGGGGTCCTCGGAGGCCAGGAGGGGCTCGAAACTGGGAGGGGGGTCGCCGGGCGCCTCGACGTCGGCAGCCTGAAAGTTGACGGTGACGGGCGAGCGCTGGCCGAGCAGCCATCCCCGCGTGTGGAGTTCGTTGGAAATGAGGCGCATCATGATGTCGTCGGCGACGAGGCCGCCGCTCTTCATGATCCCCTCTGCTTGGATACCTGTTTCCGGGCGGGCGGGGGTTTTGATTAGCCAGGCGCATTCACTCTCGGAGTGGGAAAACACCATATTTGGACTCGACATGGACTTACCCAGCGCTGTCCGCCGCTTGACATTGGTCCGGAGAAGGTCGCCGGTGCTGATTGACTGGAGCTGGGGGAAGCGGGCGAGGAGACGCTCGCTCTGGGTGCCCTTCCCCACGCCCGGCGCACCGATCAGGATGACGCGCGCAGCCCTCCTCAGCTGTGATGTGGTAGACATTTTTCTCCCTCTCTGTCTCCTCTAGGTGTCGGACCTCTATTTAACTTGTATTCTATTACTGCTGAAGATAGGATGAGGATGGTGGGAAACAGGGCGGTTCGAGCGGCTCGAACGGCCGAGGGACGGATGGAGGTGCAGATCAGATGCGACCGAATGGGGTGGGATCGGAAGCAGACACACACACGCACTGGTACGAGGGAATGAACGCTACAGCGAGCAGATCGAAGGCAGATCCAGGGGTAGGGGGTATCTCAATTGGAAGAAGGAAACAAGGGACAAAAAGAAAAGGGAACCACTGGTTGAGGAAAAGATATTACGAATCCGTCACGGTGGTGTGGTTTTGATTTGAGCAAGTGGGCATCGCTATCAAAGGCCGAGTCCGCATTGGCAGCGGGCTGGGGATAGGAGGGGGCAGGAATCTACAGGGCGACAGGTGTGCGCGCTCGGGCCATTTGGGGCCCTGTGGCTCCCCCCGAGACCGCTCTGGTTGCGGTTGCGGGGGTGGTGCAGTCCGATGCGACTTGCGCTGCCCGGAACAAATCGTGGCACCCGCCGCTACCTGACTGATTAATCAGTGCCATTCCAGCACCCATTGGCTCGCTCTTAGTGCTGCACGAGGGGAGGTGTTTGATGGGACTACGCGGGGTTTGGCTTCGCAGCTGACGTTGCAGTTGTCGCCCATTCATGTGTTGTCGTCACCTCATTAGGCTGCTACTGTTTCATGCTGCAAGCAGGCCTGATATAGACGAGCACACGTATCCTCACTGCCACTTGTTGTCGTCATGACAAATACTATGTATGTTTACCTGTAACCATCGCCAATGCATCCAATTCCGGAGCCCTGGTTGATGCAGCCCTGCCCAGTGAACCACCAATTTGGGAGGGACCCTTGTCGCTCACCAAAATCGTGAACTTTGTTGAGGAACGGAACTTGACTTGGCATGTCGGATCCTTCGGGATGCCGGGAGGGCATAGTGCTAGATTGCGCTGAGCGACTGTTGTGGGACCATTCTAGGACCCTTCGACATTTGACACAACGCACTAAGCATGGCATGGCCAAGAAGGCCAGTCAGACGTAGAATGGCCAGATAGAACCCTGCAATTATCATGATACCACATCATGTTGCAGCATCACAGTCATTGAACAGACCAGAATTTTGTTTCTGTTCTAGACCGACCTGCTCGGCTAGATCAGAATGGCTTCCCAACTGCCCAATCCATCTGGAATGAGGCTGTGAGATCTCGACCCTCGCCCCACTGATCTGCAGTAGTCTGAAGCGAGTCACGTGTAAATTCACGTGAGTTTATCACGGCCAACCACAGGCCACCGTGCTTCGTCTCTTGGTCCAATGGAAGGGGATTACGGCTAGTCCATGCTCAGTACCGAGAGATTCCCGACTCATGTCCACTGAAGCCCAGCGAAAGTCTCTCTTTCATCATCACCCTCATTCGACCCAACGACATCATCTCTTAACCCTGACGTTCATTATCGATTCCATCCTCATCACAGTTCGACCGACGCCATGAGCGCCTCATCCAATATGGCCAGGAGAGCGGTCGCTCGCAATCCTCTCTTGGGTAATGGTACTGTTCACTTCGTTCCCGTTCGGACTTTAGAAAAGCTTATATCGAGTGCTAACTCCCGCCCGCGCACACAGCCCGAATCTTATCCCGCAACATCTCTCCAGCCATCATCAACCGTCATGTCAGCAGACATGCCCAGATTCCCGCTCTCGCCCTTCTAGTTCCTGCCCGATACATGGGCACCGAACACCACCGTCCAGACGGCCATTCGGTTGGCCCGCCACCCGGCTTCAACGCGGAGCAAGCTAAGAGACCACTCCCCAAGGACAGCTCGGCGACCACCTCCGCAGTCAAGAGCGACAAGAGTTCCCAGACCAAGAAGCAGGATGACGCTGTTTCAGCGGCAGCTCAAACCCCAGAGGAGGCCAAGATGGCGCAATTGGAGGCGAAGAAGGTAGATGTCCTGGAAAAGGTCGAAATCGTCAAGCAGGAGAGAGAGGAGAAGAAGTTGACCATGTGGGAGAAAGTCAAGCATGAGGCACAGCACTATTGGGACGGCACGAAGCTGCTCGCAGCCGAGGTCAAGATCAGCTGGCGCCTCGCACTCAAGATGGCTGCCGGCTACGAGTTGACCCGCAGAGAGAACAAGCAGCTCCAGCGCACTGTACGCGACTTGGGCCGACTCGTCCCCTTCTCAGTCTTCATCATTGTGCCCCTGGGTGAGGCTCTGCTGCCCCTGGCCCTGAAGCTGTTCCCCAACATGCTGCCCAGCACGTACGAGGGACAAAAGTCAAAGGAGAAGAAGGCCGCTCTCTTGAGATCCACACGAAAGGAAGTTAGCACTTTCTTGAGAGGAACGCTCAAAGAAACAGGCCTGCCTTTGAGTCAGGCTACAGCCCACAGGGAGGAGTTTGCCAACTTCTTCCGCAAAGTCCGGTCCACGGGCGAAGCTCCTACTGCCGAGGATGTCATCAAGGTCTGCAAGATTTTCCGCGATGACATGACGCTGGACAACCTTTCTCGACCCCAGCTGGTCTCCATGTGCCGCTACATGACACTCAACACCTTCGGTACCGATGCCATGCTCCGTTACCAGGTCCGCCACAGAATGCGCCAGATCAAGCGTGACGACAGGGCCATTGCATACGAAGGTATCGAGAGCTTGACGGTTGCCGAGCTCCAGACTGCCTGCGCCGCACGTGGCATTCGCACACACAGCGTCTCTCCGGCACGCATGCGTCAAGATCTGCAGACCTGGCTCAACCTTCGTCTCAAGGAGGGCGTCCCCTCAACACTCCTCGTTCTGAGCAACGCCTACATGTATGGTCAGGAGTCTGGTGAAGGCGCGAACCAGATCGATGCTTTGATCGGAGTTCTGTCATCCATTCCTGAGGAGCTGTTCCACGAGATCGAGCTCGAGGTTCACCACGCCGAGGGTGCCGCTACCAACAAGCAGCGTCTCGAGGTTATCCGAGAACAGCAGGACCTCATCGAGGAGGAGAATAGCCAGAACCATGAGAGCCAGAGCACTGGATTCGCTACTCCCCGCGATACAGAGGATATCGACGAGGAGGAGAAGGAGCGCCAGGCAGTAGCCGCCGCCGAGGGCGTCAGCCAGACTGTGGCCAGCGAGATGCTGGATGCAGAGAAGGACCAGGCTAAGGCGGTGCAGCAGGAGGCCAAGGCAGCCCCTGCAACCAGCGAGCAGAAGTAAGGGACCTGCAGCGCGTGGTGGTGATATATATATATCCCTTCTTATCCCTGCTCATTATTGGGCATTTCGCATCTCAACGACATCAATTGTATATCTCATCTGTATGATTTCTACGGAACCAAAGGGACGGACTCGGAGCGTGTATGAAAGAGCGGCACAAACGCATTATTAAGACCGGCGATGGTGTATGCACCGCCGGCAGGGGCACTGGTATAGACAATACACAAGGTGACAGACAGCTTAGACTTTTCTTTTTCTTTGTTCTATCATATTTCTACTCTTTCATATGAAACAATCGAATACGGCCATTCGCTTTGATTCGCGAGGATGGCATCATTTTGCGTCGCTATAATATAGGTGTTTAATTGTGAGGGATGAGTGTGTGTGCGTGTGCGTATACTTGGCTACAGTTCTGCCAATTGGCTCAACTCTTGCTCGCCCTAGGCTCTGCCCATTCGCCGAGAAAAAATGTCAATTTTAGTGGGCGAGCCGCCGGTCTCGAGCCGACGACGGCCATCCAGTTGCGATGGTCGCAGGGCTGAGGGCCGGCGGTCGGCTTCGTCGGGCATCTCATACCCCCGACAGGACGCTCTTGGCAGGGCAGCGATGCGTCGACAACGGTCACCATGAGAGAAGCAGCAAAAGGGGGACTGCTACGCGCTCTCGGTGCAGCGGCTGGTGGGGGAGCCTACTCATCTCCGGCCTCCAAAGGAGGTGACGTGATGAGGGTGAAGCTTCATGTTTGCAGCGTGGGCTGGGACTGGACTGAGCCGTTTGAGGGCCGTTTCAGATTTCGAGCAGGTGGCGAACTCTGTCGTGGTGTCGTATCATCGCCGCCTGTTTCATGTCCTTCTGCAACGGACGAGCTGCAAGTAAGCAGGTGCCCGCATGGGGCTGGTAATTCATCATTAGGACTCGATCCATGGTAATCTTTTTTTCCTCATTTTGGTTGAAAGGTATAGGCGGGGGAATTTATTCTTGTAGATACAGCCATGTACAAGTCACTATACTCAGTCTTCAGACAGGATATACCTGTGCAAAAAACCGTCGCAGCCGTAGGGAGGGCGCATTTCTGGCAAACAAAGAGCCAATCGTTCATACGGACGCTGTCAGCATCGAACCTGAGCGTGGCAACAATTGAATGCTCAAGCGCCATCATCCCTGCTCGGATTATGGGGGACTTTGGGAGGTTTCCTTTCTGGCACGGCATCTCAGTTCGTGGGTCCGATCTTGTGGCTGGGCAACCATGAATTCACGTTGGTTGCGTCAGCGCTCAAGGCATGATAATGAACTGAATTCAATCAAATAATTAAAGAATAAGACTATGAGTTAAAAAAATGTATGATGAATAGGCAGTGCAGTCTACTTCAAGGCGCCGGCCAGAGAATTGAGCGTACATATCCAACTAACACCGCTCTACTGTTCTATAATAAGCAGGGGCAAGCTCGAGCCACAGTTGCTGCAGCGCGCGGGAGGTGAGGCGGGTCACTCTCGTCTCATTTACATACGATCCGGGGACCGAGCCCACTCTCACCAAAGATCCATCCCGATGGCGAATATCTGCATCTCACTAGCCTCTGATGCTACGCGTCGCTGGGCTGAAGCAGACCAGGCTTGTGCCGACTGCCTGGTCTGTCAGCTTCGCCTGGTATAAGTAACAGCTTCCCCTTGCTGGATCTTGGCTCTCGGGACCATCCATCCACCTCATTCCTCTATATTACATCATTTAATTTCATCGAGTTATAATACATACCGGCAGTGGGATAGTTTAGCAGAAGAAGACCTGGTTGTCCATTCTTTTAGCCTCACAATAATTAGCCATGTACAAACAACTCGTTCTTGGAGCTGGCCTCCTGTTCGCTTCTACCACATTGGCAGCTCCCGTGCCAGAGACTAAGATAGCTTCCAATGGCGGGTACATTGTTGTTCTCAAGGATACAGTCAAAAACTTCGAGTCACATATCGAATGGGCCAGATCGGTTCACAAGCGAAACCTCGCCAAGCGGGACTTGGATGAGAGAACTTACAGCGGCATCGACTTCACCTACACCGGAAACAACCACTTCAACGGCTATGCCGGTCACTTCGACCCCGACACCGTTAGGGAATTCCGAAGTTCCGGTGATGTGAGTGACAGTCATAACTTGACACCATTTTGCTCTTGAGCGTTCTAGCTGACATATTATACTCTAGGTTGAGTCTATGGAAGAGGATCAGGATTGGACCATCGGCACCATCGACGTTCCCGAGTCGGCGGCAGAGGATGAGGAGGAAGAGGAAGAGGAGCTAGAGACGAGAGACATAACAGAGCAAAAGAACGCTACCTGGGGTCTCAGATCCATCTCCCATCGCCAACCAGGTGGTGACAACTACATCTACGACGAGAACGCCGGCGCCGACACCTACGCATATGTAATTGACAGTGGCATCCGCATCACCCACGAAGAGTTTGAGGGCCGCGCCGAGCAAGCATGGACCGCCTACGGGGACGACCACGAAGACAAGATCGGCCACGGCACTCACTGCGCTGCCACCATCGGAGGCAAGAACTACGGCGTTACCAAGAAGACCAAGCTCATTGGCGTCAAGGTCTTTGACCAGAACTCCACTACGACCTCCATCATCATTGAGGGAATCGCCTGGGCCTTTGACGACATCATCGCCAAGAACCGTACTGGCAAGGCCGTCCTCAGCATGTCTCTCGGCGGCACGTACTCCCCCACCATGAACAGAATCCTCAAGAATGCCGCCAGGCACGGCATCATCCCCGTCGCCGCCGCAGGAAACGACGCCCAGGACATCTCCAAAGGCTCTCCCTCGTCGGCCGAGGGGGTCATCACAGTCGGTGCCATCGACTCGGACTGGACCGTCTACGAGAAGTCCAACTTTGGCAAGAACCTCTCCCTGTACGCCCCCGGCGTGATGATCGAGTCTGCCGGCCACACCAACGACACCTCGATCGTCAAGAAGACGGGCACGTCCATGGCCTGCCCCCACGTTGCCGGCCTCGCCCTGTACGCCATGACCGTCGATGGCATCACCGGCACCGACAACGTCAAGAAGCACCTGCTCAAGAACGCCACGCCCGACAAGATCTACGGCGACCTGAACGGGTCGCCAAACTTGATCGCCAACAACGGCAACTCACAACAAGAATAAAGTAAAACGATAAAACCCATTTTAATGATTGTGTCTAATTTAGCGAGTCCTTTTATTTTTCCTATGTTACGAAAAAATAGCATCCAGCACTAGCGAGCATTTGATAGATAAATCTTATGAATATGAACTTAATGACAACTATTTCAACTATTTTCTACATGTAATTAAACAATTTGACAATGTCTGTTATTCGCGAGCGTAAAGAATTACCAAGCCATGAACCTACTTGCACTTGGACCTTGGAATGCAGCAAGAGTTGTGCATCTCCATCGTCGACCGGAGCATGTCAGCATGAGAGGCAAGTTTCGCTCAGCTGTGGCAACGGCTCACCACCAAATTGGAGCGTCGGGATGACGGTTCGATCCGAGTGCTACATCAATTATGAACTTCGGATTTGCGTCCTACTGGAAACAGTAATTTTTATAGCAACATGATGGCGCGTGCAGTATTACGCTGCTGTGGTCATCACCGAGACCCCAATCTCACCGTTTCAGGAGTACGTGCTGCACCAGTGAGCCAATTGATGAGATGTCAGGGGATTCGCCTTTTCTAGCTTTACCGATTTGATAGAATAAGAATCTGAGAAACATTTATCTACTTACTGCAGCAGGGGGTAGATCCTTGGTCATTGCACGAGGCCCTATATCCTCAAGTAGACAAGCAAACGCATGGTAGTCAGTCCACAGGATATGGAACATCACTATATGATGCAATACGCGTGATATCAGCACATAGCACTAGGTTTCAGTCGATGGAACTACATTTTAGATCCCTGAACCACAAAGAGCTTTACCATAGCCTAGGAGCCATGCCAGATAATGTAGGGCCTACTCCAATTCGTGCAATTCAGGCAAACGGCTTGTGCCATTGTACAGAAAGGCGAGGCCGAGGCTGGGAGGTTGGATGACAGCGCAAATGCACTCTATCAGGGCACACGATAAAAGACGAGGCAGCTCAAGATAATAATCCCACGAAGGTCACGGCGATATGGTTACAACGAGATAATCGAGCATGAGACAACTACGGCGCATGACGAAGACGGCGATGACTAAGCCAACTGGAGTCCAACCGCGTCAGAGGCCGAGTCCAGCCAAGACCGGGCTGGAGCCTGGCCAGAGCAACGTCAGTGATGCTCTGCCACTATCAATCCGCACTCCAGGCTAAGCCCCATGCGATCTGCTCCCCACCACAGCGTCACCATCTCGCTCGTCCATGCATCCGCTCGCAACACCAAACGCAGCTCCCCCAGATCAGACGCATACCCTGCCTCGGCCGACTTAGCTGGGACCACGGAGCTGTATTCTATCCAGACCGACCTCCAGACCGTATCCCGAGACCTGTCTCTGCCCCTCACGACCAGGCGCAACAGCACCGTCCCGCAGTGCCGAGCTTAGCCTAGAGCTCCCGCCTCCCATCACCTCCCCCATCACCATGGCGGTAATGTCGGATCAGGACCATTTCTCCAATGTAACATGGAGCGATCATGTCCAAGAGCAGACCGCTAGAACAACTACCGACGAACAGGATGGCTTAGCCGAAGCTCAAGGCACCACCGCCGACGAGGATGTTCAAAAGTTGGTTGGGGAGAAACTCGAGTGCACCGTCACCTCACCAATCAAGGAGAATGACGGTAGCAAAGATGCCTTCGTCTCATATCTGATTACTACCAATGTGAGATCCCACTGAGGGTCACCGGGGACTGTTTTGTCCCCATGAACCTCACCCCTCCTCGCTCAGTAGGCACTGACATCATCCCAGTCCACCTTCCAATCTTTCCAGAAAGAGCACACCACTGTCCGCCGCCGATTCACAGACTTCGTCTTTCTCTACAAGCAGCTAGTAAGAGACTATCCAGCCGCCGCCGTACCCCCAATCCCCGACAAGCAGCGAATGGAATATGTCCGCGGCGACCGTTTCGGCTCAGACTTCACATCTCGCCGCGCGAACTCGCTCCAGCGATTCCTCGTCCGCCTCAGCCTCCACCCCACCCTCCGACGAGCGCCGATCCTGCATAACTTTCTGGAGAGCCCAGATTGGAACGCCACAATGCGAAGCCGGAATGCGCGGGGTAGCAGCTCAAGCGACACTGCCGGCGGCACTGGGGGCGTGTTTGACAACTTCGCAGACACCTTCATCAATGCCTTCACCAAGGTCCACAAGCCCGACAGACGGTTCCTCGAGGTCAGGGAGAAGAGCGACAAGCTGGACGAGGATCTGGCCAACATTGAAAAGGTAGTTGCCAGGGTAGCCCGCCGGGAGGCAGATCTCGAGACAGATCTTCGAGACCTTGCCGAGCAGTTCCAGAAGCTCATCACCCTCGAGCCGGGCGTCGAGCCTGCCGTCCACGGCTTCGCTGCCAGCGTCGAGGACTCGGCCACCCACCTCCGCCGTCTCCGCGAGGTCACCGACCAAGACTACCTCGGATCCCTCCGGGACATGCAAGCATACAGCCAGTCGCTCAAGCAGCTCCTCAAGGCCCGCGAACAGAAACAGCTCGACCACGAGCAGCTCATCGAGTATCTCAACAAGTCAACCATCGAGCGAGACTCCCTCCAGGGCCACGGCGGCTACGGTGGCGGTGCGTCCGGCGCCAGTGGCTTCCTGCGGAACAAGATCGAGGACGTCCGCGGCGTGGACCACGAGCAGGCCCGCCGCGAGCGAGCCCGCAAGCTGGAGCTCCGCGTCGAGGAACTCACGGCTGAGGTGGAGAGGGCGCGCGCGACGACCGACCTCTTCGACGAGGAGGTCGTCCGTGAGGTAGCCGACTTTGAGCGCATCAAGCGAGTCGAGTTCAAGAGCCAGCTAGGCGGCCTGGCAGACGCCCACATCGCCTTCTACGGCGAGGCCGCAGAGGTCTGGGAGAGATATGCCAGGGAGATGGAGGACCAGATGGCCACCGCGCGAGCTCAATAGAATCATCCCAACTATTACTGCCTTTCGTTGATTAATCACGCGAGATACATTATGGCGTATATATACATCCTTACCTTACCTTAGCTTGTTGGAGTGGCGTTGATGGCGCAGTGGTTGTAGAGATCCAAATTCAAATTTGAACAATTTATCCCAGTCCTTTCTGAATCACTTGATAATGTGTCACGATGGAAATGTGCAGGTTTTGGAAAATCTTTTAGTCATTTATGATGAAAAGCAATATACTAGAAAAAAGAAGCCGTCTACCCTTTTTGCTATGCTACCCAACTATAAGAATACATTTAACCAATGTCATGTGGGGATTCAACTCCAGTGGTAGAAAAAAAAAAGATTCAAGGAAAACGGTATGGGGAAAAATGTATGCGGAAGAAAGAAGCATGTGCAGGTGAGAAAATGGTACACTGCCGTCGTCCCCCCTCCCTTTTACGGCGCCGGCTGAGCGGGCTTGGGGGTCTTGGGCTTCTCATTATGGCTCTCGTCATCGTCGCTGTCGTCGTCGTCGCCGCCCAGGGCGAACTGGTCCCCGCCGCGCTCGCCGGGCAGGCGCTCCGACGAGGAGCCGGCCTGCTGGTTCTGGGTGCGGTCGGTGTAGCGCTCAAAGTTGTCCTCCTCGTCGCTCTCGCCGGCGAAGGCGTCATAGAGCTCGCCGCCGCGGGTGCGACGGGCCTTTCGGGCTGCGGCGGCCTTCTCGGCGTCATCGTCGTTGAGTCCGTCGGTCTCCTCGTCGTTGAGCACCTCGAACTCGTAGTTGTTGCGGGAGTCGCTTTGCAGGCGGCGGCGGCGGGCGACGAAGTAGGCGCCGAGACCGCAACAGAAGACGAGGATCAGGCCGATGGCGCCGTAGATCCAGACCTGGGCGGTCTTGGAAGCGCCGAAGTTGGGGAGCCAGGAGATCCAGGAAGAGGGCGACGTAGTGGCCGATTCGGGTGTGGCAGAGGTGGTGGATGTAGGCTTCGTGTTGTCCGAACCTGGTGGCTTGGTAGGTCGCTGGATGTGGTCGGTAGGAACAGTCTTGTGCCCGGTCTCAGTAGCGGGAGGAAGGCCGGTGGCGGTGGAAACCTTGGCAGTCTCAATGACCTTGTCATGGTCGTCATCGTCGGTGGCTTCGGGAAGAGGCAGCAGCTTCTGCTTCTTGCCGTCAATGGCCTCACCCCAGAGCTTCAGGTGCCAGTCAACGAAGTGTCCAGTGTCCTCGTTGACGATGGAGTCACGGAGAATCAGAGTCCACTTGCCAACACCAGATTCACCCCTAAATCAAAATCATTAGTTTTGTGCATTATATAAGATGTAGGCAAATAACTTACCAGTGAGCAACACTCATGAAGGTCCAGTCCTTGTAGCCGGCGCGAGCCTCATCACGCTCACGAGTGACAGCGATGTGGCTGACAACTCCGTGAGGGCTGATAAGATCGACGCTCAGATCACCACGGCGAGTGTGCTCAACGTTCATTGTGACAGTGACATGCTCAACGCGCTCAAAGTTTGCGTTCTTCAGCATGTCCTTGGTAACCTCAAAAGAGACAACCAGACCCTCGTCACCTTGGGGAAGGTCCTGCTTGACGTGCTGCCAGGGAGAGTAGAACCACGCCTGGGGCTTGACGAGCTTCCAGTCCTTGGCGAGGGCCACGATCTTCTCGGCATCAAGCTTTCCATACGCAAAAGTGTGGCTGAACTTCTTGCCAATGGCGGTCGTCTGAACCTCGTACTGCTCGTTGTCGATGGGGTGGATGGGCTGCGCAGCATTCAGGGCAAGATATTGCATATCTCTCCATGTCAAGTCGGGGCGGGTCTGCAGAACAAGTGCGAACACGCCGGCAGCGAGAGGAGCGGCAGCAGATGTACCACCGTGGTGGTTAGTGCATTGATCCTCGCCGACGTCTGTGGTATGCTATAACGACAACAGTTAGCATTTCGCGCAGATTTGGGGGAAAGCCGACGGCAGGCAAGGATTCGTTCAACTTACAATGTGAGCTCCAGCACCACTGCTGTAGGCAACAATGAGAGTCGCAGAGCAAAGCTCAGAGTAGTAGGGGTGATGGCCTTCGCGGTCAACAGCGCCGACAGTGATGCTGTAGATGGAGTTGGTGTACCCGTCGAAGTTGCAGTTGTCACCGTGTCCGGCTCCGTTTCCGCTGGCAAAGACGTAGATGGAACCCTTCTTGTCTCGACCGTCCTGGATAGACTTGACCATTGCCCTCTTGATGAGAATAGAAGGAGCCTCCATAGTCTTACCGTCGTCAGAAGGTCCCCAGGAGCAAGAGTAAATGTCGTTCTCCTGGTTCTCGTACATGACAGCCTCGGCTTCGTCAGCATTAGTGAGCGGGCCACTAAGCATCTGAAGACCAGCGATTCTAGCCTCGTAGGCGACACCGAGACCGCAGACATCGTTTCGGCCAGCGGAAATCTCACCCGCGCAACGAGTACCATGCTTATCTCTGGTACCCTGAGGCCGGGGGTGAGGCTGGTGGCGGTTGAAGTCCCAGGAGCCCTTTGCAAAGTAATTATCTTTCAAATCTCTGCTGTCCATATCGAGACCATCGTCAATGACCGCAACTGTCACGTTGTGGCCAGTGACGCCCTGCTTCCAGACAGGGGTCACGTTGATGTCGTGGCCGGGCTGGACGGTATTGAGCAGATGCCATTGGTTCCGAAATATAGGGTCGGAAATGTGCAGGTCGTGGATGACGGAGTCTTGCTTCTTGATGGCCTCTTCGTTCTCTTGCAGGGGGCTGGCGCGGGTATCCAAGGGGCCCTCGCGCCGGGGGATGATTCGCTTCTCCAGGTGGCCTTCGCGGCGCTTCTGCTTCTCGGCGTAGAGAATGTTGTCTAGCACATCGTCGACGCCGCCCTGCGAGCGCTTCGCCAGCTTCCGCTTCTTCAGATGGTCGCCGACGACGTCGTCTTCCGATAGGGGCGCGCGGAAAATGTGGTGGTCGTCGAGGCTCCCGAGGGTGCCACGGTGTTCAAGGCCCAGGCGAGTGGCGACGACCTCGGGGTTGACTCCACGGAGCTGGAGGACGTAGAAGTCGTTGGCGTCGTAGTCTCGCCTCTCGATTGCGGCTGTGGACAGGGCAGTGAAGCCCGCGAGGGCTAGGATGGAAGAAAACCTCATGATGGGTGTAGGGAGGTTTGGTCGGGGATGCAAAAAGACCACATATGGGTGCGGCAGCAGGATGGACACTTAAGTATTCTTCTAGGGGTTCCTGGGGGTAAGCCAGAGGAGCGTGGCTGAGAGCGCAGGCGGCCTGTGGCTCTTCTGGCTGCTAAAGTTGCAGTGCTGATCTGTCAGTTGGAGGGCCTTCCCCACCCATTGCTTTTGAAACGATGGGCCTCTAATGTACCTGGCTATCAGTGGCAGCAGGTACCTACAGGCCTCGCGCCGATGATCAAAAATAGGCACAACTTTGGCGCGTTTCCCTGCTACGCGATGCTGACGGCCTGTCGCCAAGGTTCCTTGCCAACATTGACCGCAACGCTCGGCATGAGTCCAATCACTTGTTTAAAATGCCATCTGTATCTCAGTGAAGCCATCCATTCATCAATCTAAGTTAAGTTCAGTTCTCTTCTTCGATCTGGCGAAGACTTTTATCGCATCTACTCCATCTCCACCGCCGTCAGCAACCAAGGTACATGCATGGCACCTGTAATTGATCGTCGTGGTACATGGAGCAGGCAACGGCATCTTCGGTCCCAATGTCCCAGGTTCGCATCTTGATGACTTAGGGGGGCCAGTGTGCCATTGACAAGCGATAGCGCTCGCGTACGTAATCCAGGCGAATGGTGATCATTGCCTGTAGGCTCACTCACCTTATAGTACATATGCAGTAGGTCTTAGGCCCTCTGGTGTCAGCGACGATACAACCTTTCCAGTCTCATGCTTCCAGACGTCGAGCTAGTGAGGCAGAACGGCCGGGTACTTGTTCCCGCTAGATCCTGACTAAGTCTCCATGTCCCAAAATAAGGCGAGCTGCACCTCAGCTGGCTAAGCCGTAAGATGCGGTGGGTCAGAGTTGCAACATGATGCCTGTTGGTCGAGATGATGGCATCTAAACGGCCGCTGGTTTTATTGGCGGGCAGTTCTTAAATCAGGATGTGCCCATGCGGAAGGCTACTGCTTTCGGCCAAGTCTGGAGAAGGCCACGCTGTACTTGGATTCTCTTTTTCGCTCTCTCTCTGAGTGTTTTCTCATGGCACAGAGATACGGAAAACACCCGAAACCGCGGGTGTGCGAGATGTACATAGGCATCCAACTTCCTGGTCTGGGCAGCTCCCTTTTGGCAATTACAGCCACATTGGAAGCAACATCAGATAGGCACTTTGCATCGTACTCCGCAAAATAATATGCATGAACACTCGCTCGATGCACGAATAGTCGCACCCATCCAATGCTGGCGCCCGAAGCCTCTTCTATTTTAAGAACTGCCCACCACACTTGGGAGATCTGTAGCAATGTGTTCTGATTCAGGGATGGCTGCGAGCCCCAGTCAGCCGGTTCGGTATTACTAAGGAGGATTTCCCTCCTGAGCTATTATTATCCACGAAGGATTACACCAGCAGGCTATGCGAAATTACAAACTTCATGTGCAAACGTCGGGGCATTTATTCCATTCATTAAATTACTCCCTCCCAGGGCCTATAGGACACTGTTGTAGATTCCAGAATCCTAGAGGCCAAGCCAAATTTCAAGTCTATAGGGGAAAATTGACCGTCCTGAAGTGTGGGCCGCTAACTGCTCCTCCCCTCCACTAAAGTGCTGCCCATCAGTGCTCAACCTTCCATTCGCAGGTGCCTATCCGGGCGGCTGCTGGGGTACCCGACCCCCTAACGTTCTCCATGCCCGCTGGCGTGCCTTTCTTGACGTAAATGAGTTTTCGGTACTCGAGGCCGGCATATCCATCCGTCCCTCTATCCAAACAATTCTACAACGATGATTCTTTGTGTATCTCGATGCTAGGAGGGGCGCCTGTCAAAGCCTTGCACTGGGCGTATATCACGAACTGGCCAGATACAAGCGCGCATGTCATCACCTAAACCATTTAGCACTCCTCCCCATCAGAGTATAGATGGATATGGTGTCTTACCAATCGTGGCCCGAGGCCAGATGTTAACAACTTCTTGGGCCCAAACTCCCGCGCAAGCTGGAACATGCGACTCGTCGCTCCCTGTTTCGGATCCCCAGCGCCCTTGTTGATGGCCGAGAGGAGCGTATCGGCAGGATGCGACAGCACAGCGGCCGCGGCACCCGCCGCGAGGCCGGAGGTGAGCTCAACCCCCGTAGACTCGAGCTTGCTGAGCTTGGCCTTTCGCTCCGGGCCCATGGCGCGGTATATCACCTCGTTGACGGCCTCGTGCACGGAGAACTGGCCCACGGCGAAGGGCACCTGCTTGAACAGCAGCGGCACGAACCCGGAGTAGAACCCCCTCAGCCCTTCCTCGCGCGCCATGCGGGCGAAGCCCGACGTCAGGCCGCTGGCGTACCCGCGCTGCGACACGAGCCGGATCCTCGTGGCCTCGAGCGGGCAGAGCAGGATGTCGGCAAAGAACTCGGCCGTGGCGCTGGCGCCTAGGTATATCGCCGTTCGGCGGTCGACGGCCTTGTCGATCCCGCCCGCCAGCGAGATGTACTGCTTCTTGAAGAACTCGTAGCCGGCGAACTTGGCGCCGCCCTGGGCGAGGTACCCCATCGCGGTTGGCCCGAAGCCCGTGAGCAGTGCTGCCGCGCCTTCTTTCGAGACGATTTGGCGGGCTGCCCGGACCATGTTGTAGCCTTTCAGGGCATCGTCGACCTGGATGCGGGTCTTGACGACATCAATTGGTGTCGCCGCCTAAGGATAAACGATCATAGTCAGTCCCTAGATGAGAAGAGCCGTGCAGTGTTGAAAGCGCAGAGGATGGAAACCTACAGCGTGCGTTGAGGTTGCCGCGAGGGCACCGGCCCCAAAGAACTTGACATAATCGCTGAACACAAAGGTGGGAAGCTCATTTGGCGCCATTCTCGCGAAATCCAAAGCCCGTCTCTGGGTCTAAATATCTAGTCAAGAGGAGTAGACGTAGGAAAGCGATGTGTAGATCCGAGGAACTCTGTCCCGTCTTTTATTTTGCGCCATTCCGTGGCCGGCGCAAAGATGCCGTATGGGAGTTGTGCATCTTGATCGATGACGTCGACTCCGTCGATGCCGAAACCCAATCAAGCTTGAGAGCGAATGGCAGTTGATGGTAAGTTATGACAGAGCGCCTACTTGGCACTAGCAGTAGGCACTCTCGGCACCTTATCATTGTCATTATCTAAGGAATCTGTAATAGCCAGGAACATACGGCCCGATATAGGAAATCGTAGTTCGATGGCTTCTCTTATTCTACCGGGCAGTTGGTCGTCGATGGGTTTGAGGTCAGAGAATCGCTGCTATCGCCACGACACAACGTGTGACTTCACAAATTGCAATCACAGATTCAAAAAGAATTAAAATCAGTATCTCGAGCATTTAGGTTTCGGATCTAGGACGATGGCATGAGCTTTCATCTGGCCCGTTTGAGGAGATCGATCATGGCTGTAGGGTAGCCACATTGAGAGCCCGTACCCAACCTTTAACTCTGTATTTTTTTTTCTAGTTTTCTTCTTACACAAGCTACAGCAAGGCAACAGCTTTATTAAAAACTCTAAGAAGGGTCTTGCCAAGTATATAACTTGGCCATGGGCCCCAAGGGGGGACGCTTATTATTAACAATCAACTATTATACCTTTCCAAGCTCATTATCGCAAATTGCCAATCACCAACCACCTCTCCTTGCGACTACTGATTATCGCGATAATGGCCTTCGCAAATACAATCATCCCCAGCAGCCAGGGCCCGGTTGCAGCGATTGACCCGGCCCTTGCGTATATGAGGGTGATAATCAGTGATAACCCTCAGGGGCTTGCGTACGATATCCGACATTCGAGCTTATACTCTGTGACCGGCTTTCTCGCGGTAACGAGTATAAGCTCGAATTTCGGATGTTGTATGCAAGCCCCTGAGGGTTATCGCTGATTATCACCCTCATATGCGTGAGCTGTGGTTTAATGCAGTGTAGGCTTAGTGAAGTAGCCAACATCATAGCCTTCTCCTGGGATAGAAAGCATCAACGTGTAATGCACGATATAAGAGGAGAAAGCATAACTTTTTCTTATATCCCTCATATCTTTTGCCTATATCTGATTTCCATATAGGAGGCTTCAATTTGAAGGGCCAAGCTCCATTGGACAACCTTGCTGGAACTAATTCTATACCTTTTCCTTTGTTCCCATGTCGTCTCTGAAACTCACAGCGGCGTTATTAATCAACTCCAGTTTAGGCCCTTGAAAAACAGAGCTCCGTTAAGGACAAGGCTTGACCTGTCTGAGTAGAAGCCTGACTGACATTGCCTTGACCACCTCCAAGCTGTGGTGGTTCTACTTGCCTGTCCCGAGTGGGAGGTTAGCAATGGCTCCTGACGGCAGATGAATTTTTTTTTTTACTTCCCGTGTATTTCTTACGTTTGACTAGGCATGTAAAGATATGTTCCTTGTATTTCTTTCCGTCAGTATACCCGCTTTTTGGAAGGTTTGATCATATTATCTTCCTTGCCGACTACGGACAAAAGGAGGGTTTTGCAGCAGTTGAGCAGTTGAGCGGAGAGTACTCGAGTTAGGAGCGAAGCGTATGATTATCCAAAACCTGAAGCAGGATTCAGTGTCTAAACACATTTACCTAACAATCCAGTGGATATATTTCCCTTGACTGTTGGGTTGGAGCCCCTATCTGCATTTCGCCTTGCACGCTACTTTGATCTTGATAACTGACTGAAGCAAGAGGCGGAGCTGTCTATGAGTAACGCTATCATTTGGTATAAGTTTGGCAAGGCCCTACATTGCTGCCGCGCATGTAGTTTAGTTCAGGTGAAGCAGTATAACTGCAATTGAATTCTTGAGCTACGGATGGTATGCAGACCTCAGTTGAGCGCGAACGCAAAGTCTGCCTCACTTGGCCAATCGTGTGCGATATTGCTCCATAAGATTCTGAAGTAGCATTAAATCTTCTAGAGTCGAAGAGAAATAGAAAGTCTACGTACCAACGGTTAGGGTGCAGACGTCTT